GCTTGGGGACCAAGTTTCCTGACAGAATGGAATTGAGGCCACTGGGGGGAAACATACAATTCTTTCAACTCCTTGTACGTTGGAAATCTTTCAAGCTAATAAGTTGGAGGGAACAGTTTTAGTCCTATAAAATTCCCAGTCAGGTCTTGAAATATTAAAAAGCTGCACGAGTTTTCTATAAGGTATGAGGACAAATAGAGCCATCAAAATCAAGAGAACCGTCAGCTAAAGAATCCTAGGATGGGGGAAGCTTATGATTTTCTAAGCTCCAGGTACAATATGAACGAATAGAAATCTGAGAGCAACAATGAAAAGTGAGAAAAAGCTAGACTTTAGGCTCCTAATTTTCTCTCCATCCCTCTGGATATGAAATGCCCTATTCCAGCATTTATTTATTGTATTTTCCATGTTTCAAAAAATCAGGACAGGGAGATAATATTTCCTAGAGTAGTTCTTTTGGCAATTAGTTCAATACTTTTGGGTTATGAAGACTAATGGATACAGTAATTATAAAAATACATACAAAAGGGCCTGGGAAGGTGGCTCAGTGGTAGAGCGCTTGCCTTGCATGCTCGAGGCCCTGGGTTCGATTCCTCAGCACCACATAAACAAAAAGAAAAAAGCTGGAAGTGGTGCTGTGGCTCAAGTGGTAGAGCACTCGCCTTGAGCTGAAGAGCTGAGGGAGAGCGCCCAGGCCCAGAGTTCAGGCCCCACTACCGGATCCCCCCCCAAAAAAAATACATACAAAAAAACACTGTAAACTCTTTCTAGCATGAGCAAGGTGATACGGCTGTTGGCCTACCTAAAACAATGAAAGGGAAACCATCTCGGTACAACAGAGACCAATGAAGTAAAAAGTTGATTGTTTAGAAAATATGATCAATGTCATGTGAGACTGAGCAGTGGCAACCAAGAAAGGAGATGGCACAGAAGGAAATTTTAGAAGGACAATGGGGACATAAACACAGATCCAAGGAAGTTAAAAAGATATATAAATAGAAGCTGGGCACAGTGGAACATGCTTGTAATCCCAGCACTGTGGAGGCAAAGGCAGGAGGATCCTGAGTTTGTGGTCAGTCTGGGTTATATAGTGAGACCCTGATTCCATCATTCCATCTGCTCCCCTGCCCTCAAAGCAAAAGATAAAAAGTGGTGAAAAAGTTCCAAAGGACCAGGATAAATTCTTAGACAAATACAACTTACAAACTGATACAAAAAAGAGATTAGTCCTTAAAAAATCAATAGTTTAAATTTCTTTCCCAAGCCCTAACCATTTTCAGATAATTTACAAAATTCTTCTACCAGATAAGATACAGCTACCAATGTAGCTCTATGAAACCAGAACCACTGACATACACCTAGGTCACAGAAGTGTAAGCACAGAAAACAAGAAGTGTAGGATCTCCAACTAACCATACACAGAAAAATGTAGACGATAATACAGAATGAAAATGCAAAGTGTTTACGTGTGCCAGGAGAGTTGAACATTATTGTTCACATGGCTGGGATCTTTTCCCAGCATCCACTTCCAGAACCTTTTCATCATCTCAGAATGAAATCCTGAACCCATTAAACAATAACTATGCCACCTCTCCTCATCTTTGCCCTTGGTACCCACTTTCATCTTTGCTACTCTACAAACAAGGGTGGTGTTTTTGTTGTTGTTGTTTTTGGTGGTAGTGGATTTGAACTTATAGCCTCATGCTTGCCAGGCAGACCTTTTGGCTTCAGTTATTTTTCAAATAAGGTCATATACATTTTGTACACGTAGGCCTTGGACTTTGATCTTCCTGCCAGGCTGCCTACATAACTGAGATTACATGTGTGAACTACCACATTCGGCTAGCTTGTTGCCCCACTAACTTTTTTATTTTTTTTGCCAGAGCTGGCCTTGAATCACAATCCTCTTATTTCTGCCTCCCAAGAAACTGGGATTTCAAGGATGAGGCACTGATTTCATGGTTCAAATCTAGCCTGGGCAGACAAATTCAAGATATTTTTATCTCTAATTAGCCAGCAAAATGCCTGAAGTGGCAGTGTGACTCAAGTGGTAGAGCACCAGCCTGAGAAAAAACACTACAGAACAGTGCCCAGGCCCAGAGTTCAAGCCCCAGTACTGGCACAAAAAGTGGGAGAGGCAAACCCCCAATTTCACTACATAAGAAATACAAATGGCTAACAAATGGATGAAACCATGTTCGCCTTTAATAGTAATAAGGAAAATATAGTTTAAATCTGAGTAGGAGATCGCTTTTGTGTGTTGATAACATTTAAGAAGTCTGGTAGCAGCAAGTGCTGGTGAGAACAGGACACAGTTGCGGCTCTGCAGGATGCCTGACTGCTAGTGGTGGTGGCTGGCACCTTCCAACACTTGGACAGGCGTGGTTCCACTACTTTGAAGAATACTTCAGCACTAGGTAGTAAGGTTGGACAATGGCATACTCTATAATAGAGCAACTCACCTTCACAATGACACAAATCTCAGCCTCCTGAATAGCTAGGATTACAGATGTGAGCCACAGGGTCCCAGATTTCTGTTTTTGTTTTTGTGTGTGTGTTACACTAATAATTTCAAGGGTTCTTTATCCTTTGTTGTTATAGATGTTGTGCTCTCCTTTAAAAGTTTGTGGCTAATCATGTATTATTATTATTTTTTTGGTTGCACTGGGTCTCAAACTCATACCTCTAGCCCTTTTTGCCTCGGCTACTTTTGAGGTAGAGTCTAGCTTTATGCCCAAGCCAGCCTGGCGAGATTCAGTTTTCAGTCAACAGATTGCAAAATACTTATGAGCCATGAAACCAGTTTAAAAAATGGTGATCAATATCCTTAAGAAATAAAATTAAAAGTCTTATATAATTTCTCATCCCCCAGTGTGTATGTGTGTGTTTGTGTATTTTAATCATTTAGTATGTTTACTTGTAGATTTATAAGTATATTTTAATTACCACAAATAAGGGAAACCATGCAACCTATGTTTCTTTGGCTCTGGCTTACTTTGCTTAATACTATTTTCCCCAGTCTTTCCATTTCTTTAAAAATGATACAATATGCCAGGCGCTGGTGGCTCATGCTTGTAATCTTAGCTACTCACGAGGCTGAGATTTGAGGATCATGGTTCAAAGCCAGCCTGGGCAGGAAAGTCCATGAGATTCTTACATCCAATAAACCACTAGAAAACCAGAAGTGACACTGTGGCTCAAGCAGTAGAGAGCTTGTCTTGAGCTGAAGAGTGCAAGGACAGCGCCCAAGCCCAGAGTTCAAGCCCCATGACCGACAAAAAAACAATACAATATATTCCTTTCTGATGGATGAGTAGAATTCCATTGTGTATATACACCACATTTTTCTGATCCATTCATCCACTGAGGGGCATCTGGGTTGATTCTATATCTTGGCTATGGTACACAATGCTGCAATAAACATGGTTGTGCTGGTAGCTTTAATGTAGCTTGGTTTGTGTTCTACTGGATAAATGCCCAGGACAAACAGACTCTCTCTCTCTCTCTCTCTCTCTCTCTCTCTCTCTCTCTCTCTCTGTCTGTCTCTGTCTCTGTCTCTGTCTCTGTCTCTCTCTCTCTCTCTCTCTCTCTCACACACACACACACACACACATACACAATACACACACACGTTGCTCCCCAAGGTGGAGAGCTCTGTGAATGTCTAAAATATTGTAAAATATTCTGAGTCATGTCAACCAAGTTTGAAAGCCCTGCAAAAAAGACTCCACATTCCCCAGAAAACATAAACCTGATTTTTTTTGTTACAGCTTTGTGCAGACTAGTAAAACACTAAGTTGGGTGCTAAAGGCGCATGTCTGTAATTTTAGCTACTCAGGAGGATGAGATTTGTGGGAATCTCAATTTGAAGCCAGCCTGGGAAAGAAACTAACACTCCATCTTCAATTATGTAACAAAAAAACAAGATAGAGGGTGGCTCAAGTGGTAGAGCACCAGCTACAAAGAGGTAAGCTGAGTGAAAGTTCAAGGACCTGAGTTCAAGGCCTGACTCTGGCACCAAAAAGATAAAATAACACACTGGATATAACTCAGGTGTCTAGTGATTGATATTGGAGATTAGAACGGATAAACAGATTGAGTCATAGGCACATGATGGAAAATTATGTGATATTGCAAAGAAGCTTCACAACTATGTATAATGACTTAGATAAACCCTAGAAATAAAATAGTCAGTGAAAACACAGGTTGCAGGAATACTCCTATGAACACCCTGTCTTCTCTATGGAACTTAGAGATAATAGTAGTAATAAACTAACACAAATACCAAAGCATGGATCCTGAAGATAGACTATCTAGGGTCATATCTCAGCTCTGTCATTCAGGAACCATGTAACCTTGAGCAAAATAGTGAATTCTGATTCTCAGTTTCCTCATCTGCAACTGGAAATAAAAACCTACCTCATAAGGTGTTAGGATTAATAACTGTGAAGTGTTTAGAGCAGAGAACATGTAGCAAAGAACACAGGAGAAAGAAGAAATTCATCAGTGTGTTAGTTCTTAAGTTACATGATAGGTGTTTCTACAGATTCACTAGATAGATAGATAGATAGATAGATAGATAGATAGATAGATAGATAGATAGATAGATAGATAGATAGATAGATAGATAGATAGATAGATAGATAGATAGATTATAAAAAATGCCATGCCAAAGCTCTGTAAACTTATGCTTAAAAGAAGACCCTGGGCCGCACACTGCCAGAGGTTCATACCAGTTATTCTAGCTACTCAAGAAGTTGAGATCTGAGCATCAAGGTTCAAAGGCAGCTCAGGCAGACAAATTCAAGAGACTCTTTTCTTCAACTAACCAGTAAAAAGCCAGAACTGGAGGCACAGCTCAAGTGGTATAGTGCAATTCTTGGAGAAAAAAATTGAGTTCAATACCCAGCACTGATGCTTCACACACACACACACACACACACACACACACACAGAAGATACTGAAGGTAGGTAATATTGACATCTTGGGCAAAGCATACCTGGTTCTCAGCTGGTCCACAGCAAGTGCCACCCAGCTCTGAAGCAGAGCAAAGAGCCGTTTTTCTTTATACCGCTTGGTGTATTGAGCCAATAGTTCCTGGGCCACAACCTGTGAACATATATCATGCATCAGCCATGTCTCAGAATGTAAAAAATACCAGTGCAGTTAACTACTGTAAGGTAGTTAAGGTCTATTGCTACCTCCTAGGAAGGAATGAAATATGAGATTCTGTCCTTCCTGGGGCCCCCTTTGCCTATGGCAAACATGTGGTACTTACCCTACCCATCTAGCCTTCCCTCCCTGGGGCTGACTCCTCACTGTATGCTGCTCTCTCTCCCCTTGTCTGTGCAGCCCCTGGCACTGGCCCTGAGACTAATTATTTAACTGACACTAGGCAAGTGACCCTAGTTAGTTAACCCTACTTGCCTCCCATGAACCAGATGGCAGATGTCTGTTTTCTTCATGCCTTTGATGTTCTCTGGGTGATCAGGCTTTGGGGAATGTGCAAATAAAGCACAGTGGATAGTTTGCAACAATAGGTACTAGACATGTGAGTGAGGCCATGGTTGGACCAACATAACTCTGTGGAGTCCCCACATTAATAAACCCAAGCAAGAGCAGAAACACCACACCATATGAACCAGCCCAAACAGCTGGCTTACAGAATTATAAGATCCCAAAATTACTGTGGTCTTTGCTACACTAAATTTCAAGGTGACTGTTACTAATCGAAACACATTGTTACCTTTCAGTGAACAATTTCTTTATTTCACTTCACATATGTATTTTTTCTTTGCATGACTTGGATTTTATTTTTGGCATCACTGGGTTTCAAACTCAGGACTTTTCAGTTGCTAAATAGGCATTCTATTGTTTCAGTCATGTTTCCAGCTTTTTTTTCCTTGGCTATTTTTATAAAAATTGTAAAGATGATATACAGTGGGGTTACAGTTACATAAGTCAGGTAATGAGTATCTATCACTCTCCCTCATTCTCCCAGTTTTTTCCCTCCCAACCTCTCTCCTGCAACAAATTGTATAGTTCATTTCCAATATAGTGTCTAGTGAGTATCACTGCTGAATTAGTTCATGCTTTGACCACATGTTTTTATATGTCATATAAAGTGATCTATATGCTTTCATTCACCAGTAGTATATCACAAGTGATATTTTTAGTTTGCATTGTTATACAGCATTTTCTTTATTTGTTTTGTGACTTCGTAACACTCTGTGTTAAATCATAGTTAAACATTCTCATTCAGTAGGATATTTAGGGTGCTTCTGGTTTTATTCTTTCTTGATAACCTAGAGGTCAAAATGTTCACTCAAATAGCATTGTTCTGTTTTCATTACTTGAGAATAAATACTATGGGCTTGATTGAATACCTCTCTTGGTAATGAGGGTTATTTGGGTCATGGGAGAAGACTAAAAACTTTATCAAGGCATCCTTACCTGAGGGAGTTTTGTTGGCATTAATGGGCTAAGCCACTAATGTGTGATGCAGGGATAGTTTAACCAACGAAAGACTATGTGTGACACCTAGTGTTCTGTCGAAAGCTAAGTGATAAAGTTTATGTGCACTACTCCAGAGCCTGACTCATCTGCCCAAAGCTACCACATCAGATTACACAGTCTCAGACTGTGGAGGGACTAAGCCCTCAAACTCCACTTTCATCAAGAGATGTTTTAGGCCAGTATCCAGGGACTCAGACATTCTCTCCTTTTCCATTGCCATGGTAACCAGCACTGTTCCCAATTGAGATGGTCCTTAAGGTTGGCCCTCAGTCTGCATTTGAAGCTGCCATGTTGATACTATGTATAGATGCAGGCACTGGTATGTCATACAGTGATGTTTTTGGGTGGTGGTGCTGGAGCTTATTTATTTTAAATTTTTGGTGCTGAGGATCAAACCTAGGGAGTAATACATACTAGGTAAGTGCCCTTACCATTAGACTACATTCCTTACCCACCCTCAGTTTGAACTTGGGTTCTTGCGTTTGTGAGTCTCCTGCTCTGCTTACTACTTAACCTCAGGTCTTTTTTTTGCTTTTTTCAGGTGAGCTGTCAGGTTTGTGGTCCTGGCCTGTGATATTCCTACTTTCACCTCCCTCACTGCTGGAAACACAAGCCTGTACTCCTCTCATGCAACATTTTGTTGGGTTTAGAGCTAACATTTTGCTGGGACTGGTTTCAAACCACAATCTTACTGATCTGTACCAATGGAACAGATGAGATTACAGACTGCAACCCCCCAACTAGCTGATTTCATTTTCATTATAAATTATTTTCCTTTGGTGTCTTTGAAGTACTACCTTGAATTTTGGAAATTATGTCTTCAGCTGTGATGGATCAAAGAACAGGAACACCTTTATGACAGTCACTGCTATATAAAATAAGTATGAAGTCCAAACACTACTAAGAATGGAGAATATGACCTAACCTCTGAATTAAAACCAAAACAGAACAGCAGTCAAGTTTCACAAATTCATCCCCAAGATTAGCATTCTCATTATCTTGTTTTTGCTAATCTATTCATTTATTCTGGCTCTAATTCTATCTCCCTCTAGCTACACAAGTAACAGCATTCCAACATTTAAACAACTGCTTTTGCTCCATAGTTGTCCCTTGCTTTATTTTCTACTATAATATGATGACATAGAACAGAACATGTTGGCCGATATATGGTTCTTCTACTTCCTGAAATGTAGGTGCCAGGTGGGCAACGGTGTTTACCCTTGTGCCATCTAACTGTATGACAGACTTAGGAGATGGGGCAGTCATTCTTGAATTAGTAAGTTTCTCTTCCTGTTTTCAATGTATCCAGAATATTCAGTCCCTTAACAACTCCCTTTAACTTTGCCACTACGTCAGCCTTTCTGATCTAAGGAACTTAAATTGGGAAAATTAAATCACCCTAGCTAGAATTAAAATTAGAATGATATAATAATTGTGCTAAACTTAAAATAGGGAGAAATTGGGTTCTGGCTAATAGCACAGAAGCATTTAGAAGTGTCACTCGTTTTCTGGGTCATGAATCAACATGACTTTTTAAAAAATGAGGTTATTTTTTCTACTGATGTCCTCGTGGTAAAAGATTAAGGAATTGAAGCTATCAGCTACTGTGAGATTTGGGTGTCACATACTCTAGATACAATTCTTTATTTGGATAACTTCCTAGGAAAGGCAACTGTTGGGTTTGTTTCCACTGCATAGACATTTTCTTAAGTACAATATGTTGTTTCATAGACATGTGTGATTTTCAATTGTTTTAGATGAGTCTTGCTATGTAAACTGGGCCAGCCTTGAACTGGCAATCTATCTGCTTCAATTTCTCAAGTGCTGGGATTACAGATGCTCTCCTACCACCAAAGTTGTTTTTGAACTTTCTATTTACAAGTATTTACTCAAGATTAGTTGCAGTGGGCTGGGAAGGTGGCTCATGCTAGAGCGATTACCTTGCATGCATGAGGCCTGGGTTTGATTCCTCAGCACCACGTAAGCAAAAAGAAAAAAGCCGGAAGTGGCGCTGTGGCTCAAGTGGTAGAGCGCTAGTCTTGAGCTGAAGAGCTGAGGGACAGTGCCCAGGCCCAGAGTTCAGGCCCCACAACTGGACACACCCCCCAAAAAAAAGAGTAGTTGCAAAAGCAATACCAAGAAATTCTCTCTAGCTATCATCTAGATACCCCCCCAAACTGATCTCACTTATAAAAATGATTATCAGCCAGGTACTAATGGTTTATGCCTGTAATTCTAGCCTACATGGGAGGCTAAGACTGGGAGTGGGTTGAGGCTATTTGGCATAGAAAAGTTCAGGACATTCCTTCCCAACTGAGAGCTGGGTCTAGTGGCATGTGCCTGTCATCATAGCTATGACTGGAAGCCTGAAAGAGGCACTGCCCAGGTAAGGGTATGGACAGGAAGTGAGACCTTATATAAACAAGCCATAAAAGAGCTGGGAGCATGGCTTAGTGATAAAGCACCTGCCTATTCATGCCTGGCAATGGAAACTCAGGCTGACTGAGCAAGCAGTCTGACACCCAGTCTTGGCTTTCTCTTGTTTTGTCTCCTCTCCCTCTCCTCATCATTTCTTTTTTCTTTTTCTTTTCTTTTCTAAAACACCCTGTCTACAGTTGGAATCAAGCTATTCTGTAGCCCACATTTGAAAACTGTGAGTCTGAACAATAGTGAGGAATATGACATCAGAGACACAGTTATAATAAATATCATATGCATCATGCAACACCCATTATGTAACACCAATAAATGTTATTTTTTAGGTCCAGTCGCTTTTCAAGGCATCCATGACAAAGCCAATGTTTCTGCACACTAAGTATTTTGCTGATTTATGCGGGCATAGTGATATATGGATTTAAAAGCCTAACAAGGAGTATTTGCTGCCAAAGTAGCAACATTAGAGCTGACTGGAATAGAAAAATCAGGGGTCCTAAGGAAAACCCAGCAGATAATTACTCTGCAACAAGGATGGGCTGGGTGTTGGGGCCTCACTCAGGTTTGTAGTATGTGGGAGCCACTAGAATTGACAGTACTTACAGCACAAGGGGCTAATTCTGTTCCAAGGAACCCTGAAAAGGACCAGCTGAGAGCTCGGGGCAAAATGAAAATGGAATGATGAAAATCTTTCAAAAATTATTCAAGATTTCAAGGTGAGGACAGCAGAGCCATAGACCAAGCAGAGGCCCTTCAGAGCATGGGGAGATATGCCACTGTGGAGGCTTTGCTTCAGCAATGGTCCTGGCTTTGGAAGTTCCCGTGTAATTGGCATGGAAAATGGATGACACTCAGACATATGAAGGAGACATATGCATGCAAAAATATTACTTACTGTTTACCTGACATACAAATGTAATAGAGTGTCACCTGGTGCCAGTGGCTCACGCCTATAATTCTCGCTACTCAGGTGGCTGAGATCCAGCCTGGACAGGAAAGTCCCTGAGACTCTAATCTCCAGAAGTGGCACTGTGGCTCAAGTGATAGAGTGCTAGCCTCGAGCTGAAGAGCTGAGGGACAGTGCCCAGGTACAGAGTTCAAGTCCCACAACTGACCAAAAATATTAGAGTGTCCTATGAATTTTGTTTTCTATAGCTGGC